CCACAGGCAATCAGAGACCAGACAAAGCTTTAGTTTGGTTATACTCTGAGTGTGATTGTGTGTGTGTGGGGGGGGGTGGGTTAGTCGCCTATTAAATCTTTCATGGGCCATTGAGAGCAGAGAGGAAACATCAGCCTGGTGAAAGTCAGACACACTAAATCTCATTTCACAGCAGGCTTGCCTTGCTGCACAGCTCCTTTATGCACATGACTGAAGCTAATGAGAGGGAGTGTTGAAGCTGAGACATTCATATGAAGTCTAACTGCAGACCTCCTCTTCCTTTTTATGACTTGATGAGTGAAAATGGGAAACAGAGAACCACTTAGAATATAAGCATGCTCCATTTTCTTGACACTGGCGCAATGTAATGCGTTTTATGTAAAAGCTTTTTGGCCTTGATCGCTGTAAGATTAATTACAATGTAAATATACTTCTTACACCATATTACATTAGTTCTGTATGTTAGCATCTTCCCAGCTGCTCTCCAGTTTCCTCTGCCCTCATGTGCAGGCTCAGTAGCTGGGGTTATTTTTAGGTGTCTCTCGTGAGTCTCGGGGATCCATTTTCAGTGACAAAAAGGATGTGATATCCAGCTCTGAGTAAAATGGCTTTCATACAAGTCTCCAGAGATGATACTGACCTCACTGCTACACTAATGGATGTGATTTTTCATGTGAAACCATTATTATGTGTTACACCTGATCAAATCGGTATAAACACTGTATGACAGTAGTACTCCGCTACTGTTTGTCAGAATAAGACATTTTGATTTTTGTCCAAACAGGAAAAGTCCAAGATGAACTTCCTGATGGTGGATGGAGCCGGTACTGAGGACAAACCTCTAAAGATCCCCAAGGAGGTGTGGATTCTGGTCAACCACCTCTACACAAAGTCCTGTGATCAGGTGAGAGAGCTTCAGCTCGTTTCTGGATATGCCAACATTTTTTCACCTCTAGGAAAGAGTTTAGATTTACATAAATTCTTGCAGTGCTTACTGTCTGATGCATTTCTTTATTGCCAACTGAAGCTAACATTACCCCTCATTGACATACTTGATAAATAATGTTATTAAAGGGGACATACTGTGTTTATACTGTGATGTTGTTATTATTATTGTTGTTATTACTATTATGATTATTATTACTAGTATTATTGTTGCACTCTGCTAGAGTAGCTTAGCATGATAGGTCTCTTTTGGAGAATGTCTGTGTGCTTGAAAAGGCCACTGACACACTGAAAAACAGCATTTTAGAGAGGGAACATCAACAAATACAAATGATGAGCAAAAACCTAATGGTACTGTTATCTTAGAATAACCTGAAATTACTGATAATGTTTCATACGTTTGTGCAGTGTTTTGTAAAACAGTGTCCCGTGAAACCATTATCTTAAAATATCATCCGTTTGAGGAAAAACTTGATCCTGCTTAGTTTTGTGCATTTTCAGATAACTCGAGTTTCTGAGTTCTTTATTTTGGCCTGTAGAATAATTAACGAGTGCAATAGATGGTCTGTTGAGTAATGGCAAACATATATAGGTTGTCTGTTTTTCTCTGAAGGGAAAAGACTGGAAAAGAAGTCAATAAATAGGACCTTTTAGTTATAGGAGTTAGACACAAAGGGCTTAACCAACGTGTTTTGGCTTCTTCAAACTTTATTCTCAGCTCCATGCACCTTGGAAGTGGGTGGAGTGCCAGAAACCTTCAGTCTGTTTCATTTGTCCCTGGTTGTCTTTCAGGAGGACTTATTTCAGACACCAGGCCTACAGGAGGAGCTGCAGAGCATCATCGACTGTCTGGACACCAGCATCCCTGACTCCATCCGTATCCTATAAAGCCAGTTCTAAAAGCAGAGCAGATTACATAACAGGGTTTTTTTTTTGTGATCCGTTGATGGCAATAAGTGTTAAAATCCATGTCAGCTGGTTTACAGCTGATAGTAAGACGTTCAGGCAGGAGCAGAGTTCAGAGACGATGTGAAAATATGGACCTACAAGAATTTTCTTAACTGTTGGTGTAGCTGGTTGTAACCACTCTGTGGCTGAGGCACTGCTGATCTTCTTGGAGGCTTTGCCAGAGCCAGTGGTGTGCTATGAACTCTACCAACGGTGCCTAGACTGCTCTAACGACACCCGCCTCTGCAAACAGGTACAGTCTGATTTATAAAGAGTGAGGCATCGTGTTCATGTACAGATGAGTGCAGTTCGTTTTATGATGTGGTTAATCTCTGTGCTGACCTTGATTTTTGACAGTTGATCTCCCAGTTGCCCCGGGCTCACCGCAATGTGTTTCGCTACTTGATGGCCTTTCTGAAAGAACTTCTCAAACACTCACAGAACAACAATCTAACAGCCAGTCTCCTTGGTAAGGTCATCTCCATATATCATAATACAGAGTTTATTTAAGCAGATTCTTCCATCACAACCACTTAGTTCTGAATTAGCAGTAGGACAATATTAATTTAAGTAAATTGAATCTTTTCAAATTAAGAGCACAAATCAGTGAATTTTAAAATTGTTAAATATATAAACTATTACATTGTGCACCACAATACAGTTACGCTGTAACCAAATCAGAGACGGAGCTTCCAGGCCTTCATATAATAAAATGCCAGTATTGGATTGAGTTTATACAATAGTAACCATATATTAGATTAAACATTTGTGACCTAAAAGGCATAATGTGAGTAACTAATAAATTTGCATTTTGTATGTTAAATGTTGACCTGTTATTTGCGGTCAATCTCAATCACTGACATTTTTCCCCCTGTTCTTTTACCTTAGCTACCCTCTTTGCCAGCCTCCTCATTCGACCACCTCCCAATTTTGTGGGCAGGCAGACGTCACACGAGCGCCAGAAAGCCATCGATTTTGTTCTGGGTTTCCTAATGGCCGGAGATGAGGAGTAACATTGAGGGTTAATTATGGTGTCAGTTTGGCCTGGAGCTGATTCCCAGCCTGGCTCTTCGGTTTTAAAGGACCTGGTATTTTGACATCTACTGGAGACCAGTGCAGTTCTTCTGCACCCTACCTTTTACAAACTGTCGTGTTAATATGTAAGGTACTGAAGACTCTTATTAGAACTGGCATATCTTCAATCCATGCACAATAGGACTAGTTGCAGGATTTGGATGCATTTGGGAGAGGTTTGAACTGATGCACTTTGTGATGACCTAAAGGACCTGTGCCTCCTGACTAGAGTTGACACTTCTTCATGTAGGTGCTCTTGCCAAAATAACCCCTAAGCCGTGAGTGTTATAAATGTGAAAACACTATATATATATATGTATCCATAGATGCTAAATAGGAGACTCACTTACACTAAAGAAATGAAGAGACTTCTTTAGGTTTGAATAAATGGACTGAAGATGTTTAGATATATTGTTAAAATAGTTTGAAATGGGATGATCATGCAAATCTGTCACTAAGAATGTTAATGCATAAGATAAATCATGACAATCATTTATTTTGCAGCGTTTAGCTGAGGGGACAATATTAAGATACCTTTGAGCTTATCCATGGTATTGTAACTGTTTATTTATGTTTTTGTTTTCCTCCAAGTTTGCACCATGTGAACACTTTCTACTGCAGTTTACTTTCAGTTTTAAAATGTTTAATTGGGTGTCTTCTTGCGTGTTTTTATCACCCTGTTGTAGAAAACTCTTGGTTGTAAGTGTTTGGTGTGTTTTGTGTAACTTCAGCCGTCAGCCTTACCTCCAGTTTCCTCATTTCCTCTTGACTTGCGAAACAAGTCTGTTAACACACTAACTTCCTGGTCAATCGGAATCGGGTGGAGATCTCACTCTTTTCTGGTGGTGTAAATAGTGACTGTTTACCTGTTACCTGGTTGTTTGACTGTCTGCTGGTATGAATCTGTGATGGTGTTTAGTTTGTCCTGAAGGTGGTACTGTTGGTGTGCGTCTACGTGTGTTTACATGTCTTCTCCCTCACTTAAAGCTCTTTATTCATTGTTTTTAGGCAGTTCTGTCCCCTTAGGGTAAATCCAAAAGACTAATGTTCTCATTTGAACTCATGCAGCATTTTCTGGGTGTGAAATTAGCAGATTTTAATGGCTCATTACTCTGCAGGAAGCTGCCTGTCTTTGTGCCACAGAGGACCATTCTGTTCTGCAGCTGATTCTCTGTAATAAGGAACTTCTAAGGCCCATTTCCTCTGAAACGGTTTAACCCATAAGCTTTTCACATTAATGACGTAATAATTTACCCACGATGCCAGAAAAACCAGAGTTTTTTCACACATGCCCCAGGACCTTTGCAGACGACATATACACATGATGCAATGTGAAAATGCTGACAATCGTGACTCTTGTATAAATAACTGTTGGTCTGAAGTAGCTCATTCTGCCTTATTAACATCCTTACTTCAAAATCCTCTGTTGGCCTTTTTCAAACTGAGATTTGCCAAACGGTGGCATGAGTCTATGGAACAATTATTTTGGGGATTTTCTTTTTATATATAGATTTGGGAGAACTGTTTTACAACAACCTTTCATTTTTGTCTGTAGAAATACAAGCTTCATGATGTCAAACAGAAGAATCAGTGTAATCACCACCCTCTGATTTTTATGTGTTGTCTTATTCCACTCTACCAACTGATGTTAACAGTGTGCGGATTCATTGTTGTTCCTCTTTTCAGTTTTGTCACAAAACTGAGGTACGTTCAAAGGTACACAAGGATACATTTGTTTTCAACTTCTCAGATATTTTTTTTTATTTTTAATTTATTTAAATGAAATAAAACTGTGTATAAAGCTGTTTTGTGCCCCACCTCAATCTCGTCCTCTTGGAAATCTTATGCAGACAAACGGTGACTGCACGGCAGGTTTTTGGGCCTTACTCTTCGGGTGCATGTGAAATCGTCACTGGGTGATGTTCACGCCAAAGTTAGTCTGCTTCACCTCAGTGCAACATTCTGTTTCCCTCCAAGTATAAAATCCTCCTTCGATCTGCTGCTTCCATTTGGTTGTTGTGTCTTATCTCAGTCTGAAGCCATTCAAAGCTATGGCCATGCTCAGAGTGTCTTCCTACCGCAAGCTGTTTGAGGACGACAGCTGGAGACGAAACGGAGGGTTGAGCGTGCGGTGTGCGGGGCAATACCGGGCCTCTGTCAGGTCAGTGTGGGTTTTGCTTACCACTTTTAAGATATTAAGGTGTACAAACATGTCCACCAGTTTGTCTGTGAGGGGTATGGCATTTTAACCTGAAAAACGTTATAGATGAAATACATGAATGAGATTTCATTTAAAAGGGTAACATCTGAAATTTTCCCCTTATGATTAAAACATAGTGTACTGCTTTACATGTCAAAGGTTTCCCGGTGGATGCTGAAGAACCTTAGTGGTTATAATAACATCTTTATTCATCCCAAAGTTGGAAAATTATTTGTTATAGTCCTTAAGAATGAAGTTAAATACAAAAACGATGTATGACATGTACGTTGAAATTGGCCTCCCCATGACTGACTGACTGACTGAGGTTGTCAGCAAATAAGCAGAGATTAGGTTATCTGACAGATTGGTCAGATGTAATAATGTCACTATCAGTCGAGTGCTTTTTCCAGAATTCAGGACAAAATTACAATTTTATTTCTGCGGCCAGTCTCACACTTGTGGTCATAGCAGCTAGCCTAACAGTAGTAAATGATGAAAGCCATACGTTATATATTTGAGTAGCTGGTCTAAATGTTAGGCTGTGTATTATTTGTTTTGGGTTTTTGTAAAAAAACAGACAAAAAAAACAAACCCTACACTAATAGAGAGAAACCCCAACAATCCAACAACCTTGGTGACAGCGGGAAGGAAAAACTCCCTTGTAACAGGAAGAAACCTCTGGCAGGACCAGGCTCAGAGAGCTCAAGCATTAGCTGCAACTAGTTGGGGGTGAGGGGAGGAAGGCGAAACAAAATAAATTGTGGCGATCGTGGCTCAAGAGTTGGGAGTTTGCCTTGTAATTGGAAGGTTGCCGGTTCGAGCCCCGGCTTGGCCAGTCTCGGTCGTTGTGTCCTTGGGCAAGACACTTCACCCGTTGCCTAGTGGTGGTCGTCAGAGGGCCCGGTGGCGCCAGTGTCCGGCAGCCTCGCCTCTGTCAGTGCCCCCCAGGGTGGCTGTGGCTACAATGTAGCTGCCATCACCAGTGTGTGGATGACAGGTTGTGTAAAGCGCTTTGGGGTCCTTAGGGACTAGAAAAGCGCTATACAAATACAGGCCATTTTTAAATGCAGAGTGGTGTGTAAATGAATAGTAATTGGGGGGGAAAAAAGGTGAGTGAAGAAGAAATACTCTGTGCATTGTGGGAAGCCCCTAGAAGCCCAAGTTCTATCTCAGCGTAACAAAGGGAGGAGCCATATTCATCATATTCATTTTCACCTAAAACTAGTGCAATGTGTTAACTTCATTGACCTTAATTTGCAACATAAAAATTTGAAATTTTTGGGAAAAAAGTCCTGTAATATGGTCTAATAACACTCTGAAATAACATAAGTTAGAAGTTAGAACAGGATATAGTAAAAATGAGATATAAGATGACATTTTGATGAGAGAAAATGTATATGGGCTAAAATCTGACATCTGGGTATGACTTGAACCTGTCTCTAGGTAATATTAATTAAGCTGTAAACTGTAATCTCATCAACAATTATAACTTCAGAGGTTTGTGGTCTGAGACAAATTTGAAAATTCCCAAAACACCGATGTGTCAAAATGTGCTTAACAACCTAAAATGCATGTCTACATACAGCAATCAATGCATAATAGGTAGGTAAAGTAATCAGCACTGAGGTACCAACAACTGGTAGTGACAAATGTCTTCAGCGCACAGACGCCATCACAGGGTGCAATCTTTATTTGCTGTGACGTCAAACGCAGTCGAGCATTTCAAGCACAAGAGCAGAGACTACACACCTCTGCCAAGACTGAAAATTCCCTTTGCACCATGCATGAGCGGAGTCCCTTTATCCAGAATCAAGAGATTGGTTTGTGATATAGATAGAAGTTGGTGTTCCTTATCATCATCATCATCATCATCATCATCATCATCATCATCATCATCATTTTTTTAAGAGTTGACTGTTACCCTGTGTTGGTGAAGAACAGTGAAGAATCCTTCCATGAATTCCTGCATCCAGATCCAGACTGACTCCCAAACATGAGCACCTCGAAGCCTGACCTCTCTTAAATGTATCATGCAAATCCAGAATTATGAGTAAACCTGCTAAGAAATGGACAAACTGAACCAATAACTCCATGATGTCATGTTTACAGTGAAGTATATTCAGTCTGGATAAATGCCTTGTTTGGATGCCCACGAAAAACATCTCATATATGAAGTGAGAGCAATATATGACATAACATACAACACAGAAAAATGAAAGAAACACCAACAAAAGAGAACCAAAAATCACAAAATTAGCAACATTTCAGCCTTACAAAATAAAATGAAATGGAAGAAAATGAGCAAGGATAAACTTGATGAAGCCTCTCTGTATGTGTTTAATTTATTTTTCTAAAACCTTTAAAAATATTGAGTCGAGTCTTTGGTGCTTTGTGCCTTTTCTCAGGGCTGCTGCTGTTGATGACTGTGATAAGCTAGACTTTGCAGCTGCCAGGGCTCAGAACAAAGAAGGTCTGGACCAGTTTGTCCAGGACCGCACCGTCATTGCTGCCCTCAATGACCGCCTGGTCAGACTGATTGAGCTGGTGAGGACAAACACTGTAACTGCTGCCTCTCTGCTGGTTTCTTCTGTGTATACCTCACGCTATTTAAACCTGCGCCCTTTAGGCTCGTTGTTTTGAGGACGACAATGAGTCTCTTGAATGTCAGATCACTGAGTTGGAGGAAGAGCTGAACAATCGCCAGGCCTCTTCCAGCATCACCTCCACTGTGGCGGTGCCCGACCACAGCCTGGACGCTGTGGTGGAAAGACTGGGCAAGCAGAGGGTATGTGCTGTTGGGTGTGTCTGCTGCATGTCTCTCCGTGCGATGGCATGCCTAAATGAGGTTTTCTCATATCAGTCCGCAAGCACGTCTCACGTCATGACATCAGCCGGATCACACTTTGCATAATTGTGGGCAGGTCTGATTTACAAGATCCATCAGTATCTGGCTGTTTCTCACCACAGGATGGGATTCTGAATGACACACAGGAGCTGCAGAAAGAGCTCAAGCTCCTGAAGAAAGACTATGAGAAGGCGTCGCAGCAGAGGATCTTCGTCCGGCAGGAACAACAAGATGTGGCTGAGGTAATTGTATTTGGCAAGTATTCTGTTGGTATGCATGGAAATCCCATTGCTGCTTCAGAAAAATGGTCAGGAGGGAACTCTACTCTGCTCGACAAATAAAGAATAATCTGTGCTTTTTTTTCTTTTTTAAGGACTATAAATTTATTTGAAGATTTGGTTACAACAGTAGGTTCAGTTCCAAAAAGCTAAGAGAGCACAAGCGTAGTAAAATTCAGGGTCACATCAGAGTCAACCATCCATTAATAGAACCACTCAAATAATGACGTCCTTATTTGAGTGGTTATATTAATGGATGGTTGATGATCGAAGGGAGTCAGCTGGGGATTGAGCATCAGACCAAGAGGCCTCCTAGATGAGGAGGAGACCCTGAGGAAGACCCAGGACACACCGGAGAGATCACGTTTCGTAGCTTGATGCGTCGGTGTCCCCCAAGAAGAGCTGGCCTCTGCTTTGACTGCTGTCCCCATTTCACCGACCACGCGAGACGCAAAAAAAAAAGGATGGATGGTGATCATAGGCCCAAACACAAACGTCAGGATTCCCCACAGGGTCGTGTCATCTAGTCTGTCAAGGCTACAATTTCACTTGAAGTAAAATTATTTAGTTAGAGCTCAACTCTTAACTGAATTTACTACTGTTGATCAAAACTCACAAAACAGAGGCCATTGTATACTAAAATTACATTTTGCAAATGTGAAACCTCAAGCAGTAAAGTTTATAATGTATAAAACTGCCCTTTAAATAAGTTTGGTGGCTGTGTCTACTTAAATATATTAGTATTAAATCACTTACTTAAAACTTGAGTATGAACCGAAGCATTTTCTCTCTGATCTGACCGTGTTGCGATAATATACTTTGAGCACTAGATGGCAGGGCTGTCAAGCATCTTCACTTCCCACTCCATCCAGCTGACACCTGGCACAGCTGCTCCTCTGTAGTGCTGCCCAGTGGGTTTTGATCACCAGCAGTCACACAGTCTGGGCTGGTGGCCCACTGCAACCTGAGCCACCAAACTTTTCTTCCCTCGCACATGCCAGAGACCATCGTTTCCTTTCCAGAACCAGGCCAGATGCGAGGGAGGCTTTCATTTGTGCCTCACAGATGTAACGCAGGCTGTGATATGGTGCCGTAATGTTCCTGCTGGCTCTGTTCTGCAGTTCTGAATTGGAAGCAGCTGCAGGGTGACAAGACTTGGTGGGAAATCAGCAGGGAGGTAGAGGAAGAGCAGAGATGCGGAGGAGAAGAGTGAATACTACACAGATCGGCCCACAACAAGCTGCATCTTTGTCAGCATAACGTCAAAAAGCCACATTTGGTTTGTTTTAGAGCATACCGCTGGCTTTTGTGTGGTTTCTATCCTACTCCATCATCAAGGATTGCACATTTCACCTCATTTTGATTTTCTGTGGCTACAGAAAAACAGAGTGAGTCTGAGTGGATGAATTAATTTAGCATATATGGAGTTTAGATTCATTTAAAGGTAAAAACAAGGTCAGAATTACATTAGAAGACTTTCTTTTGGTCAGAATTTCAGCTGGTTTTAATCCTCATTGGGATAAAAATAAACAGATAAATGGAGAGCACTAATCAATATTTTTATATTAAACATGTCAACAATAATACATGTGACAAGGCACCACTCATGGTGAAGACTTAAAGCTCCAACTCTTCTGCAGTTCAAATGGGAAACGGGAATCAAATTTAAATGACTGAATTTTTCCTGGTTGTTGGTGTCAGATGGCCTCGTCTGATCTATTAGGAACCATGCTTAGGGTTTACAGAGAGTAGTACAAAAAAATATATCCAATGAGCAGCGTTTCTCTGGCAGAAAATGCCTTGTTGACATCAGAGATCTGAAGGGACTGGCCTAGATGCTTTGGGGTAGCAGGAATGCAGCAGTAACTCAAATAACCACTGGTTAAAAGCAAGGTATACAGAAAAGCATCTCTGAAGGCACAACACATCAAATCGTGAAGCAGATGGGCAACAGCAGAAGAAAAGCACACTGGGTATCACTCCTGTCAGCTAAAACAGGATATGGAGGCTACAATTCACACAGGCTCACCAAAATTGGGCTATATAAGGTTGGAAAACTTTCCCTGGTCCGATGAGTCTCAAGTTCTGCTCCAACTTTTGGATCGTAGGGTCTGATTTGTTGTAAACCAAATGAAAGTGTGGACCCATCCTGTTGGTTCAGGCTGATGGTGATGGTGTAGGGAATATTTTAACGTGAGCATCTTTGAAATGCTACATGAGTTTTGTATTTGATAACAAACCATGTCACAAAGCTCAACCCATCAATAACTGGCTTCTTAAACATGTTAATGAATCCATTGTACTTAAATGGTCTACATATTCCCAGATCTCAATCCAATCCAGTAAAGCTGACAAATTTGCAACAGCTGTGTGACGCTATCATGTCAACAAACATGTGTAAGACACTTAAATTTGACCCAACATGCTTTTCCTTATTGTCTGTTATACAGTATTTTCAGGTTGAGAAAGTCAGTTGGAGCTAAAATTGCTACATAAACAGAAACGGCTTATTTTGAACAGTGAATCATGCAAAGCTACCCTAGAATTAAACTATGGAGCTGGAAATGGCAACTTGAGTAAAAGAAGTCTGTGACTGTGTGTGAACACTATGGAGCAACTACACAAACTACAACAGGTTTTTCTCCAGCTCAGAGAGTTCAGCAGCAGCAGCCAGTCTGTTTAATCTGCTGCAGTACATCACTGACCCTGCCACCCTCACAGCAGGAATCCACAACTTTACCACCAAACTCTTTCTTCCTAAATGTAAAAGCAGGCACAAACAGTAATTGCATTCAACACCAATTAATCCAGTTCTTTAAAAAGAGTAGACGAATTCAGAACCCCTGCCGGCAAATAGATTGGGTGACAAGGCTTTTGTGTCTAGTTAGCCTCCTTCTCATCTTCCTCCTCCTCCTCCTCCCTTTTCCTCTGCATTGCGGCGTGTAGTTGCTGTTCAGTGACAGAGTGGCTGGTGCTGATTGTTCTCAAAATTGGTCTTCAGGGTGGAAACAACTTCATGTTTTTTCCACCTGTGGTTTGATTTAGTTTGCAAACTGCAGAGCACTCCTCAAACACTTCCAGAAATTAAGTTCAACTTCTCTGTTAACTTTACTTTCTTTTAACAGGAAGTGGATGCTGTGACAGCAGAGTGTTTGGCTCTGAGGGAGCAAGTGACTATCTACGAGGAGCAGCTGGCCAGCATGGAGACCCTGCACAGGACGGTGAGAGAAAGGGAGTTTGTAGCTGCAGGCTGATGAAACAGGAACAGTTTATAGTCACAGAAATGGCTCAAAATGTAGCACTTAGGTCAGACAGGAGTGTTGGAGGAATGCCCAGATCTGTGTTGACAAACGCAGCTCCTCGCGACCTTGGTCACCTTGCTGAAGAGTTGTAACCAGAAACGGCCACAACAACAGAAAAATATGAGCAGAGCATTCAATTCTAGATTCATAAAATCACTTTTTTTAAGGGCTTTGTACTAAATGCAGTCGTTACTAGTCTTTTAATGGGAAGGAAGGTGTTTTTGGACTGTTACACTTTTAAATTTTACCTCAGGGGTTAAAGTGGGATTTGTTTAAGTGGTGGTGGAACTTAAAGATGGGCTGTTGAAAACAATTACTTGAAATAAGTCATCAAGTGATCAGCTGCTACTCTGGTACTCGCTGTTTTTTGTTGATTTACCCAGCTGAATTCAACAAGATATAAGCAGATATTTCATGAACTATATTCCTCATTTTCCAACACATAGACATTATAAACCTAGTATAAAAGTTATAATTCAGTGACTGAATCCGATCAGCATTTAAATATAACTTGATGTTTGCTATCTTTGATGTAACTTCACATTGTCCATGAACGACACAGCCTGCTCTGTATGAGTCCAACATGGCATCAGTTACTGTAAACTTCACCACAATACTGCAAACTAATCGGTATAGCATGCACGAAACTGTTAGTAGATCCACAGTATCCTCATGCAAAGTTTGAACATCATAAATTGAGTGTTTTGCAAAAATATTTTCCAAAAACATAATGCAAGAACACATAGATCATATACCTGATTTAAAAACTTTAAAATGAGTCACATGTAAGATTTAAATTTTCTGTAGAGCACCGACTGCCACTTTGCATCTGCACCATGAACAGATCACAGGAATGTGTTAATTGATATGTGAATGTGCCAAAAATTGATTGTCTGTATTTAAGCTGTTTACTTCTTGACCTGTAATGTATCAAAAACATCCCTCTCCTGAATGGTATAAATTCATTTTTGAGGCAGATCAAACATTTCTGTCTCAAGGCAAAAGCTGCAGTCAGTGTTTGGCAGAGTAACTTTTATATTTAGTTTATTTATCGAGGTAAAAAGTCTCTGTGAGATAAAAACAGTAATAGGCACCAACCTGCAGATTTAATTCCTCATTGATCGAAGATGCAGGAACACCTTCCCACTGTTCTGGGCATTTTACAGCAAACAAACAGGATGTGATTGAATTGCAGACTTTCAGTTAAAACCAAAATATTGCAAAAACATTTGATGAATTACAACCAATTTAATACACAAATATAAAATCACAAAAAAAGCATGTTATTGTCCAAAAACAGTCCTGTGAAAAAGAGAGTTTTTACTGGAGTCCTGTGTAGAACCGAGTACACTTAGCGCTTCACGAGCTTTAGCAACAACAACTTAAAGTAATTGTTTTCTGTGTGATTTTATCAGTCTCTCACATCGTTGTGGAGGAATTTTGGCCCACTCTTCTTTATAAAACTGCAAAGGTTTCACCATAGTGTTTCAATCAGGTCGAGGTCAGATCTGAGAATAATAAAAAATATGCCCATATTTTCATATCTGCATGGTAAATATGAAAGAACAACCAACTCTGGGGTTGTTAAGCATAACAAGTGGAAACAGGAGATTGAAGCTGACAAAATCTGCTTTCTGCCGAAGCTCACTTGCTGAAACATCAGTGTAAGAATTCACTGGTTTATAAAGGATTTTGTGCTAGTATCAGATTGTCATTTTATCTTCGAACTCTTGAACATGCCCCACAAAATAAAATGTATTAAGTAGCTTCTCTGCACTCAAACAAATTTTTCAACTACTCCTTTAAAAAAAGCACATGCTTGCAGCCATATTCTGTACATATCCACACACACCCCCAGCCCTCTGCACCTTCTACAATTTTCTCCACCTCACCAGGAGATGACAGGCGCACCCCGGTATCAGATCTAGAGGCTGCAGGCAGAGAGAGAGAGAGGGAGGCAGCTGAAGCAGGAGCAGCTCCATCACTCTGTGTTTTTCCTCTGCAAAGCCGGACCGCGCGGCATTTAACACACTCCCTCTGGGACACGCTCGATAACTCCCCGTCCGGGAAATGCGGCTGAATACCAAATGAAAACAGAAGTTCCCTTTGTTTTATTAACTGTTGTTATTATCGGCACTTCCAGATACCCCACATTCCCCTGAGAAATCGGCAGCCATGTCGTTATGTAGGTGCAGGGAAGAGGAGAAAAACGTTAGTCTGCCACTGCAGCTCTGTAGCAGTTCATTTTCTTTGTAACTGATGTGAGGCTGCAGACATGCATGTTGAGGCCTTTGGTCTCTGTGTGTTTGTAGCAGACAGAAAATTTACCTGAGTATACTTTTACTGCACAACACACTTGTTCCTCAGTTTTTTCTTTTACTGTTGTAGGGGTGAGCTATATCTGAAATACACTAGGCATCTATGGATATAATAAACATACATATGTGTACTAATTAATAATGCTGACACATTTTCATCAATAAAGACAAGGCTCAATTTTAAAATGTAATGCAAGAAGTCAGAGCATTGGTGGTTTGGTGTAATTGTAGCAAACATAAGGTCATATTGACCATCCATCTATACAAGTAATCACATTACTCCTGTATTTCTAATCATTTTAGACTTTTAACATGTTTCTATATAAAATTAGGTGTCTGCCCTAGTGTGCACTTCTTGCAAGAACACTTTGGTTTTGCAGGGTCTTATAGAATCAAACCACATTAAATCAGTCATACAGGTAAATGGACAATGACAGGGACTTACTTTTAGACAGAGATAGTAGCTCTCTACTGATGGGGCTGTTGAGAAGAGCGCCATCAATAAGCTTATAGAGAGATGAAACTGATATAAGTTCAGCTTATTTGCGTTCACTTCCATAATTTGAAATCCATGATCATCTTTTTTAACTTGACTTTTAACTGCTTGACTTTAAGTCCCAACCATACTTTAATGATTCGTCCTCTCTCGTGTTCACATTTATTAAAATTATTACCAACATAGGACAGTCTTGCCAGGTGGGGTCAGCAAATTTTGGGGGGTGGCCAGTGCCCCCTCTGGCCCCCTCTTTGTAGCGCCCCTGTTCAAACCTCAGGAAGCTTCAGTTCACATGTTCTCCACACCCTTGTGTGGATTTTCTTTGAGATCTGATCTCTCCTGCCACTGGAACAACATGTCAAGTTATTACTTATTACCAGGGCACTCCTGCAAATAAGATTCTTAATATCAAAGGGTTTATGGAAGCTTGTTGCCACCACTGTTGTTTTGGTTCGTTTTTTCCAGAAGTTTGAATTAGGTGAAATTTTCCTTGCTTAAAAAATGTTTTAGAAAATATGTATTTGTACACAATGTTCATTAATATTGCGTTCACTAAGAACAAATAGATCTAAGTGTAATGTTGCAGTAGTCTAAATTTCATACAACTACCTCCCAAAATGACCTGTCATACCTCAAAATCATTGTGAAGTTAGATGAGGCTGCTTCTTTGTCCTTTGCATGATCGATATAAAACCTGTGCTTGTTCATGTTTCATCGTAGATATCCTAAAAGCTCAGACCACCTCTCAGTCAAAGGACAAAAGTTGAGACAGAGTTGATTTGGACACGTATGAAGAAGAGATACTGGGTATGCTGGGAGAAGGATGTGGGAAAAATATAGCTGCCAGACAAAGAAAGAGAAAAGTTATAGATGATGATTGTGGATGTATTAGGAAATATTAGGAGCTGAATTATAAAGAAGTAAAGTAAAGTGCAAGTCTATTAAAACTGACATTAAGAACAGTGTAATAAATAAATGTGTGTTGTTACATTCTTGTGTATTTGTATGTGTTTCGTGTATGAGCAGACAGTGGAGGATATGCTGGAGCCCAACGAAGGGATCACCCGGGCAGCAGTGATTAAATTTGGCAGCCCTGACATTGCTCCGGCTTTGGATGTAAAAAAGTACTACTGCCAACTGGCTGAGACACTCCAGGTACAACACAGAGTACATAACACACAAAACCCACAGAGAACCACACCAATACCATGCACTGGACGATCCGAGGGCCTGCGCTAAGGCCCAGTTATTAACTGTGAATCATGTGTAGAGCCCCAAAATGAAAACACGGAGTCAGAAATGAACATAATGGTGGTTTACAGGGAAAAACATGTATTCAATACATTACTGAGCCATATAATAACAAACAAACAAGAAAATAACGTATGTACACCACTGTTAACAGCTGCTAATTCTCCAGCTGTTAAAAAATCATTGTGAGAAATATAACAAAGTGGGTCTCATTAGATGAAAAAAAAGCATGTGAAAATATGATAAATAAGCATTCATGGCTTCACAGGCTGGATTCAGACAGACATCGGTTGCGATCTTTCAGTGGCTCTCAAACTGTGGGTCATACAGTCACTACATTTTGAGACTGTACTACAAAAGCAAGTTTTGTTGAATGAACTAAAAAACATAATAAATGAGTTTGTTAATGCTATCGTGTTGACCGAGTTTCACAAAAGTTAAACCTTGTTCCTTTAAAACTTGTCGGGTAAATGGGAACAAGCCCTTTTTTGTTTTTTCTTCATATCTGGGATATGCCACAAAAGGTTTGCAGAGCCACCGGTGAGCACACATGGAAACACACATCACAGCTGCTTGAGCGTTTTATGATCTCATGATCTCAGAAAACTAAACAGTTGTCATTATTTTTTTTATTTTTTTGGCCATGCATCCTAAACAGGGCACAAAGGCTTCCAACAGAAATCGATCTTGTGTGGTTTTAATTTCACTTGATGATATGCTCTCCAGCTAGCCAGCCAACCTGTGCTGAGTGATTTCGTGACAGGATAAAGTAATGTGTTACAATCTCACTGTGTGTATTGGCCGGACCATGCCATGGAACGAAGTAATGTGAACAATAAGGTTGTGTTACTGGGTTGTTTTTTAATACTTCTAAGTACCTTCTGCGGTTTATATATTGGTGCAGGTCGTTCACTTCCTGTGGGTTATTTCATTATTCTTGAACTGCTTCTATTTAAATAAGAGATCTGAGTACTTTCACTTTTGACACTCTCTCCAGTGACCAGTTCCTCATCCTCTTTACGATTAACTCCAATATTCTCACCGCACCACCCTCCCTCTGTCCCTCTCAGCTTTCACAAATCACACAACGAGGCTCCCACTTGTTTTCTTTACCTCTTAACACAACATTGGGGAAGAACTTGGAAATCAGAGGTGCTGTTCTGGACCCGAACAGAATGTCTTTGTCCACCTGTGTGTGTGTGTGTGTGTGTGTGTGTGTGTCTTGCAGCATCGAGGTCCTGCACTGGGGTCAGACTGTAGCTCCGGTGGGTCTGACCCTCTCTGAGGTGAGGATGTCTGCCTGGTTCAGAGGTCAGGGCTGCAATCAGACTGCAGGCCGCCTTCCCAGGCTCCTTAGCTGCACTGAAGTGGACACTGGTGTTTGTGTGCATTTAATATGGAGACATGACTAAGGGATATCTGCCTGTCTACGTGTGTTTCTTGTTCTTTAAAACGCCATCTATTTACTCTCTCCCTCCCACTCAGGCTCTTGCCTCGCCAGCTGGACACCGTCCTGTCTGTGCCTGGCCTCGATTACGAGACGCAATCGTCTCGATGCTAAAATGATTGCTATTGGTTGTGAGCAGTAATGGTGATTGCTGGCGGACTCCTACACACCTGTGCGCCCTCATGATTTGGCTAATCATGAAACTGGTGTACGCAAGGAGAGCTAGTATGAGAGACTCTGATTGCTCCCCCTGCCAAAGTGCACTTAATTACTCAAAAAGATCCCAGCAGCACTGACTTCTCATCTTGTGTCTCTTCAGTATGAGTGCGGTGCAGCCTCCTCTGCTGTGGTCCACAGTGGTGACGGAAAGGAAGTGGAAGTGGGAGGAACTGGAGGGTCAACGGTCAAAGACTTGACAAAGATAAAGGACGCCGGTGAGATAAAGATGCTGGTGAGTGTTCTCCCCCTGCCCTTTCTTTAAAGAGTTAGTTGAGCCAAATTACACAAAGCACATACGCTTAGCATAGTTTGTTTGGAGTAAACTTGAGCTTTACATCAGGGCAGGGCGTTTTGGTTGCATTTGCCAAGCTTTTAAGTTCTTCTGAACTTCTTGCACGAAAAGGAAGCTAGTTGATCCAAAAAAGGAAAAAAAAAAAAAGATTTACCCATTTTATGTACGCCTACAGCAACTTATATCTGGAACAAACAGTCACAATTAAAGCCAAAAGATCATTTGCAGTTTATAGTGTAATAGAGCATAACATTATGTGATTGTTATGTTTCATATCTTTGTTTTGGCCACATATATTTGGAAACCAGACTATGATTAACATTCTTTATGAATGAGTTATATATTAAATAACGCAGTGAATTGTTCTTCAACATATGCTTTTGTTTGCCACTAAGACATGGCCTGAAACAACTCATGTTAGGGAAACCATCCAGCATCATACAGTAAGTTCTACAAGTAAGTGTAACAAGAATCACCCCCCTGCTTCTTTTCATAAGTAAACAAGTGTGAGGAGAGCAGATATGACATGTTTAATATTTTCCCGGCTGAAATCATACCAGACACAACACACGCAAACGGGGTCAATTTTATCCTTTTTATACATATACCTCTGATCTGCTTTCATATCAAAAACATGTGAAACAGTAAGTACCAAGTTCAACATTTGCAAACCACCTTTAGCAACGTGGACTAAAAGTAACTGTTTTTTAAGTGACTATATCAGTGTCATCGTCATTGCTGTGGAGGAACTCCTCAGTGTTGCTTTGGTTTATTGAGATGTGCATGAATTAGTTTATGTACAGCTTTTTTTAGGTCCCACCACAGCATTTTAATTGGGTTGAAGATTAACTGTGTAGCTCTGTTGTAGATTTGCTGGTGTGATTGGGATCATTGTCCTGTTGCGTGACATAATTTCAGCCAAGCTTGAGCTTTAGGAACGTTGTCCTCGCAACGTGGATGAAGAAAAAACCCCAATGATCACCTCTCAGAGTGACATCTGATAGGCCGTGTTTGGTTTCAGGTGAAATATGGAACTGTGGGTTATCCTCGGAGATTTCCACTTCGGTTTTGTCTGTCCGTTTTTTCAGTAGATCTGTGGTTTGCTTAGACGAATCTTTGCAAATCTAAACTGTGCTGCCATGTTGTTTCAGACTGAACAGGCTTTCTTTTTGAAGTTTCTTTGAGCATTTCACAGTCTGACTTTGAAGTGAATTTGCTGGGAACATTCCAGGATTGTGTTAACACGACGTTTGTCTCCAGACCAGGAAACTGCACAAACTTTTGCTTTATAGAGGCGGTCACATTTGGTGATGATCAGTAAATTAAATAATATATGATTAGCCGCACCTGGCTACTACTTACCCTCCTGATATGGAAGCACTAAAGGTGTACTGAACAGTACTGTGAAAGAGTCCTGTAAAAACTTTTCTCTTTCTTCATGACGCTATGAGAGTGATAAAATCTTCTCATGTAACTCTTGGCATGAAAATTATTATTTTTTTGGTTTTTTTTTTTTAAATGTTTTGAGCTCCACAATCAACACTCACTTGACTTCTGCCTCCACACCTGTGAGAAATATAAATTCAAAACGCTCTGCAGGGCTGCTGATTGCAACAGCCGAATGAGAGAATATTGTTTTTGAGGTGATCAGAGCTTTACACATCATTTAAGTCCTTTAGTTACTGCCTGCTGATAGTGATCTTCCCATAATACATTTTCAACCTCTTTACTGAAAAAGGAAAGGGTTTTAACATCTATCAGCTGGCTCTGTGTCGGTCATCAGCTCCTAAATCAGATGTAATGGTGAAAATGAATGGTTTCCCACAGCAGGCAAAGGGAGTTGAGAGCGGCTGAGTGACAGCAGAGCAACAGTGTGGGAGATCCTGCTGACCAGAGTGTTTACTCTGCGGACGTTTTCAGCAGGAGATGTGAAGAGCTCGACTGCAGCTCACACAGGATTTATTGCTCTCTGTGTCCTCAGTTATATTAAGTACAGTCTTTCAGAGCGCCTGCAGTGTCATAGGCATCTTTATACTTCTCACACACACACTGAGTGGAAAGGAAATGAAGCTTAATTTGTCATCCTGCTAGCAAAAAAAAAAAATAAATTAAAAGGTGCCAAGGGAGCAAAGAGACTTTGAAGGAAACAGACAGCAAAGTGAGACGTGAATGAAAAGACAAACCAGGAAATGGTGACTCAGGTAAAAACACCTCTTATAGTCCACCCTGGTCTTATTAGCATCCGTCAGTGGTCTGACCACAGCTGGCACCCAACCACATCTGTAGCAAACATGGTGGTTTGGTTCTCATTAGTGTGGCTCTACCTTTCAGCTCTTTAAATAAACATCAAGCCTCTGTAACCTCAGCACAAGTCTCCCAACATCATCTACTTTTCTTTAATATTCAGCCTCACTTTTTGCTCTGTCCAGGCTGACGGATGGACAGCACGGCCTGATCTGCTCTGTTTCCTCTTCGTCTGTGATGGATGCCTCGGGTCTGGTTTCTCACTGAGAGACAACATGGCCAAACAAACCGATTGCAGTGAAATCAGGCCTGACACACAAATGTATATAATAGAACAGGCTCTGATGGGTTTATCCGCCACCGCTCGCGTATACATACAAGGCCAGGCTCCACTTATCATGCCAAGGAGAGTAAGTGAGTCACACAGTTTGGGAAGTCTCCATCAGCCTGTGAGTAGTAATCGGGTCATCTTCTGGTCACATGATCTGGCTGAAAGACGAGCAGGACTGCCTGGATCCCCATCTGGCTGTGACAGCTAATTGTTGAACTTCAGTGATTGCTGTAATTACTCACGGCGGGGGAAGGGATGCTCCTCAGTTAGTTTGTGGTGAAAGTAAAGTAACCTGTTCTGTCTGTGTTTGCTGGGTTAATTTGCATACTTCAGTTGTAGTTAGAGCTCAGTTTAAATCCATGTTTTCAGTTAGTAATGATGAAAAAGTGCCACTGGGACTGATGGGAGTAGCTTTAAATCAGAGGTATGTAGTTGTTAACTAAAATACAAAATTTTGCCCAGTTAATGTCAAGTCAGGAGGCTAAGGAAGTAATTATAATTCCTCCTGGGGGGGGGTCATAATTGTGTGAACCAAATTTCATGGCAGTCTATCCAATAAATCCTCAGATATTTCCTCTTAAAAACGTCAACTTTGTAGTGGTGCTAGAAGAATTGTCGGGGGATCACCAAATTCTGCAGAAGTTGCCATCTGGAATCAATGAATGTCTGTTCAATATGTCATGACAATCTAATATACACTGATCGGCCACTACATATAATATTGTGTAGGTTCGACTCATAGCACCAAAGCAGCTCTGATTGGTCAGGGCATAAACACAGGTCCAGATTTTGATCTGGGGAGTTTGGAGGCCATGGAAAGGTCCCTGGCTCTCTGTCATTTTTGGGGGTTCAATAGACCGTTATGTCCCACTAAGGGAGGTTGCTGCCATCAGGGGGTGATATGGGAGACATGGGTTGTGTGTGTAAAGGTTGGCTGCAATTTTTAGGTGGATGCGAGGTTTCAAAATAACATCCACAGGACATTTTCCAGGAGAAGATCGCATTGTTGAGAGAAAAAATTGTAGTATTCACATCAACTGTCAGTGGTTTTGATTTTTTCACGTTTCCTAATGTCATTAGCAAGGACCCTCCCAAACCTGAATAAAATAAAAACATTTATCTATGATGAAACAACAAGCCAGGTCAGATGCTATGATTTGGAGAATGCCTTACTTGCCAGTGGCTCCTTGGCCTGGCGGGTCGCTCTCATATCATCCAACTGATGCATAACATTCAACTTGTTATGGTGTTGGCTGCCATGTTTATAACTATCGATTTATTTTTAAATATCTAGCAGCAATGGATAAACATTAGCATTCATCTGAGTCCTATTTCTGGCCATCTGACAACTACAAACTGACGACTAACATCTGCTCTTGTTCTTGGCCTCATTTGTTGATAATTTTTCTGAAGTTCAGAAGTGAGACCACAGCCGAAACAATCCCCTTCCATTTGTATCTCTAAAAATGCTTAAATGCCCCACATGTCTATTTCTTCACATTTCCATGTCTCCACATTTTTCTCAGTTTGTAACTCGGCCTCAAAGCAGTCTTCATTTAATGTGAAATGCAGTTTAAGGCTGATAAGAAGGTTGCCATTGACCAAAGGTTGAAGCTCTTTGTTGTCTTACTGAAGTGCTCCTCAGCTGCTGTTCTTGAACTGAACATGAACACGAGGGCACTAAAATGTTGTGGTATGGGATTATTACATTATCGGTAACAAAAGAATTCAATATACAAGCAATTTTGCAGATATATGTTCAATGAATAACTCCTTCTCTTTATTCCTGAAGATTTCAGAGCTACAAAAGGAGCTTGCTGAGCTCGAGAAGCATAACGAGGAATTGGAGGACGAGGTTGAAATGAAGAAGGCTGCATACATGGATGAGATTGCTGATCTAGAGGTATAACAGGGGAATGATTAATGCAGTTGAAACCTATATTCTGTCATTCAACTTCATCCTCTGCTGCTCTGTGTGGGTGTGTGTGTGACATTAGGCGACTATAGATGAAATGAAGTGTCAGAAGGCCAATTTCCAAGAACAGATGAAGGAGCAGTGTGAAGACTATAAGTTTCTGCTCACTCAGAAGATGGCCAGAGACATGGAGATTGCTGCTTACAGGTCAGATGGTTGATGTTTTTAATTATACTTAATAACAGACAACTCTGGCTTCAACATGTGAGTAAAATTAGATAATCTAATCAGTTTCGCATTGTGATAATAGAAGAGAGAACTTAAAAACTAGAAATTAAAAGTTTTGGTTGACCTCAGGGTCAGGCCATGCAATGCTCATCTAACAGCTAAAGCTTGGCTAAAACTGAGTCATGCAACAGGACAATGATCCCATGACTGAAATGGCTAAAAAAAAAGTCATATAAAAACGCCTTAACAGAGCTGTGGATACACGAATGCCTGCAAATCTCAGTGAACTGAAACAATAACTTAAAGAAGAAAAAAGGGACATTCAGAGAATGATAACATGGTTCTACGTGCTGTTGAATTAGGAAGTGTACTTTGTTTTTCACAGGACTGTAAGTCAGGTTACAGTAGCAGCCTCAGAAGGGTATTCCAGATGTTCCTTTCCTCAGCAGCGTATTCCAGTTCTCTAGCATCCCAAGGCTCTCCCAGTCTAGACAAGATATACAATCTCTCCAGAGATTTCTGGATCTGCTGTAGGGTGTGATCAGAGCTCCGAGCTCCCTCTGGATGTCTGAGCTCCTTACTGTATCTCTGTAATCCCATTTTATATTACGGTGAATTATAGATGCAGTCTAGGCATCCATTACTAGTATGAAGTGATAATGCTCAGATTTACTCTCTTGTTTCAATACTCAAGGTTTTACAACAGTAATCCACAAACCAACCACATCACATCGTGACAATATGTTAATGTTGGATACAGTCTATAATGGAGTCGTATATAAATGGTTGCAATTTTGTATCCGTATAAAGCAACTTGTTACATTGTATATTCGATAGTTATTATTGGACTCTAATGTAATAATAAAACTGATAAAATGGTTATGGTAAAATCGAATAATTTAATAGTTTATTAATTGTAATGCATTGCAGTTGATGATTAATTAATTCATAATTGATTTTAAGCATTTTCAATCATAACAAGGTCAGTATTCTGCTTTGTTTTGCAGATCATGTATTTCAGATATTGACTTTATAGCAGTACTTTAATTTAACCTTAAAACTTAAAGCACTATGATGGACTGTAATGTACAAGTGCTTATCCACGCCTCTTTTGCACGTTTTAAAATGAAGAGCTTGCATGAATATAAACCTCTGTGCCTTCACGATCCTCATTTCAGGGCTGCGGGTTGTTATTCTTAAGGGAGACCAATAAAATTTTACACACACACACTATGCCACACACACGAGAAGACTTTGGGATGACTTGATTTAATTGTTAGTGAGACTGTCAGTCAAGAGGACAGCCGTGTCTGCTGGAGAAATATTCCAAGAAAAACACTGCATCATTTGATTTCAGTGATTAGTTTGTCATCCCCTGTTAAAGGTGCTGAAGTCATAAAGTCAGCTGCCGTAATATCTGATTGCAGTTAATATCTACAGACTCTGAGGCATACAGTGGATTCTCATCTCTGTGGTAGAGGCTAAAATGAAAACAGATGTCCGCCTCAATGCTCAAAAAGGTGCCACATAATATTTAAACATGTCAGGAGAAATGAGCTGTTCGGGGCAAAGCACATAATGGCCTTGAGACGATTTTATTAAACTGAAATTAGCTCAAAGCTCTGTTTCCATTTGGAATTCTTCAAAGATGAGAAAACCACCAATATCCCAAAATCTTTTTCTAAAAGCTCTACTGTGAGTAATGCAAGGAGTGTTTCCACAAGATCCGGTGTATAAGCCCAGTATTGTCAAGCGCCTCATACAGTGCCACCTGGATATCCGTGATTTCCATTATAAGATATTCCTGAACACAAAAGGCTGACATCACGGGCCAACTGGGTTCACAGGAAATGTGCTGTGGTTTCCTGTGCGCGACCTTGAAGAAGTTTCATGTCATCCCCTCTGTTCATTGAGGTTGTTTAACCATCTGCCATCCTGGTATGTGGAGTGACGCACTTCAGCCATCCCTTCCCGCTGCCACAGGCTTCCTCCTGGTCCTTCCATCACCCATCCAACTGCATCTGACCATCTGACCCCAGGGGGGCCCCCAATGCAGGCCTGAGCTCAGACCCTCAAAATACCTCATTAGAATGGGCAAAGAGGACCTCACACTGACAGCACTATGTGCTGGGCCTCTGCCAGCTCTTCTCCATGCCAGCCTGTTAATGTCAGTTCACCCCCCACCCACTCCGTACACACATTTACAAATTCGCCACAGTTTTAATTCCCTCTCATTACCCAGCAGACTGTCCCAAAGACACATGGGCGATGCCAACTTCTTTCCTTCCTTTCTTCATTTACTATATGTTTTGTCATCCGTGATTAAAGCCATGAATAAGAAATGAAAATGGGGATTGTTTATTCTCTCTGTGCCGTGGCAAACTGTCTGCAAAGAAGACCCTAATGACCCCGGGCTGCCGTTACTGGGTGGCTTATCGCCTGCAAAAGCACCTCAGAGCAGTTTGGGCAGATGCTCCCTACTTTTGCTTACTGCTAATGTGATCCATATTACACTGTAATTCTCTCTACTGTTCTTTGTGGTCTGCTCCTGCTGCTCCATGACGCAGCAACAAGTAGCTCATCTAAGAACAAGATCCTTTATTTACTTTACTATGAGGTTTCGTTTTTATATTACCGATATATCAAATGACTCCCCTCTTCCCCTTTTGAGCTTCTTATTTTGTTTCAGTTTCTCTGCTCTCATCACCTGTGTTGGAGTTATGTAGAAAAAGCAGAGAAAAGGTGCTTGTGTGAATGGGTAAAGTTGTATAAAGGGCTTTAAATGCCTATGTACAATAGAAAAGTGCTACAGAGAACTGGTCCATGGCCGTGACTGTCATTGCAATAATGGGCTTTTAACTGTTGTTTCTATGAACTGTTGCTTTGCTTGGGTGGAATGATTGTACAAAATATATCTTCAATGACTAAAATGGAATTGGAATTTATTTAGGATTTTTTCAGAATCATACATACAGGCTTAAATATATGCATACACGCTCACTAATATTTGGTTAAATGTCCCTTAGCAAATTGCTCCTCAAACAGATACTTTTTGTAGCCATCAGCAAGCTTCTTGGCAGAATTGATAGAGTTCATTGAAATTGGTTGGTGTCCTGGCACAGGCTTGGCTTTTAAGGATAGTCCACAAATTTTTTTTTTTCTTTAGGGTTGAGGCTGAGGCTTTGGGCAGGCCATAGCAGAGGCTTAATATTAGCCTGTTCTGTCCGCTCTAAAACACCTTTTTATGTGTAAATGGGATCATTTTCCTCTTGGAACATCCAACTGTGTCAACCGTCTGGCTGTTAATTTGAAGTAAAGTTGAAAACAGCCCCAGAGCTTAATGCTACCACCACCATGCCAGACAGTTGGCACTGCAGTCTTAGATTTGAAAGCCTCGCCTTTACTTCTACGACTCTTGTCATTGTGGCCAAATTTGCCTTGTCTAAACATAAAATCTTTCTGCAGGAAAAACATTTTTTCCTGCAGAAAGATTTTGGCTAGTTCTTGTGGGAAGCTGCTAATTTCAGTCAAGCTTGAAGATGCTGATTTTGGAGCATGGGCTTCAAACTGGTTTGGTACCCTCTCAATTCATGATGATCTAAAACTCACATCACTGTAGACAGTAATGCAGTTTCCAGTTCATGGCAGGCTTGAGCTTTAGTGGTTCTTAGGCTGTTTTTAATCATGCTAACCACTTTCCTCTCATCTAACAGTCTTCCTGTCTTCTGCCTGTCTCACATTGACTTCACCCTTTTTGTGTATACAGTCAATGCAGTCGATATTATCCTCAGAGATGAAAAACAGTGTTCAACTTATATCCACATTAAATCCACTCAAGTGGAGAAAACCATGACTTCAAATTCTGACGGTACTCTATATGCTTGTTGTGGAACTGGCAGCTTTATAAGACGATAATATGTCATGTTATATGAGAATAACATAAAATGATGGGCGAAAGTCCTGGGTCACCACAGCAGCTGCTCAGCCATGGAAACGCTTAACACAAAGTTCCCAGTGCACAGTTTGTGTGCTGATGTTAGTGATGGAGGACGTTTGGAGCTCTACAGTTACTGAGTCAGCAGAGCAGTGAAGGCGTTTGTGCATCATGCCCCCTCAGCACTTGACGATCCTGCTTCTGTTTTCTTGTCAGCTACTTTGGTCTGAGTGCCTATGTTTCCTAACGTCCTCCGCTTTGCAATCACTTGCAGTTGATGATGAAATATCTAAAAGGAACAAATTTCACAAACTGACTTGTTGCAAAAGGAACTTCCTGTTTAGCGAGCTCATTTGAACTGCTTGATCTTTCACAAACGCTTGTACAGTCTGCCTGCATGGCTAGGTGTTCGATTTTAAACAAGAAGTACCTTAGCTTATTTGTGTAAACTCTTTTTAGGCTTTTATTAAGGTTAAGGATGTTATTAAATGAGTGATGAGCTGTTTACTTGGCTTGTCCAAACTAATTGAGTAACTGAGAAAATAATGTTCTACTCTGGATCTGCCAATATATGACTAATTAGTGAATGCCGTTCCTGCTTCTGTGAGTTATAACCTGTGTGTTGTGTTTTTATGTGCTTCTGTTGTTCAGGAGTCTTGTGGAGGAAGAGGAGGAGAGACTGTGCAGCCTGTGACTTAAGCCTGAGCAGTCAGATCGGCTGTCCTGACTGTGGTTGTGCTCCCCAACACAGACAAAAGACAAACGCGTAAAAACAGACCCCATTTCTGCACTTCGATGAAGCTTAACGCAACGATTCGGCAATTTGAGCAGACGTAAACTTAGTATGACAGATTAATGCTGTCTGGAGGCCTACAGTAAGCCGGGCCATTGATTACAGGTTTCTGGCAGATGACCCTGATACTCCAAGAAAGATGGAGCTGTCTAAAACTGGTGGGGGCTGTGGGATGAGTGTGTATCCGTGCAGCGTCTGGAAGGGATATTTCGTTAAGTGAGGTTTTATCTTTACCAGCTCTCTGATATGACTCATAAATGCTTTGTCCCCTCTTTGTTGAACAAGACTGACACGCAATCGCAGATAAACACACACACACACACACGCACACACCCTCAACTGTGCGGCTCCGCGGAGTCATTCCCGCTCTGATATCACCTCGTCCATCACTCAGCCTCTGTCTGGCTCTTAACCTGCGACCCCGTCACTGTTAACAAAGACAATGACGGCTCTCTCTTTGGTAACTAAAAGCGTTTCGCCTTCCCTTTGCTTTTTCAGCCATACATTTGAGTTGGTTTTGACGGCCGAGAGTCCAGCGTGCTGTGTTTGCTTTTCAAATGGTTCATGAAGTTGTTTTTCTGCAGCTCTTTCAAAATGAGCACCTGGATCTTTCCACAAGAAAAACTCTGTGTGATTAATCATTGCTTCTTTCAAAAGCAGTGTCCCAATTTACTGTCGTTTCGGAAATAAGCATTCGGTAATACATTCCCTAGTAATCTTTTCCTTATTTTCTACACAATGTTAAAGCCGTCTGCGATAAATCATTTTTGGTTGCTGCCTCTGCACAAGCATCAAAATGTACTTTAGATTTAAATTGATTAAAACTAGTTGCTTGAGAGATCAACCCACGGTGTGTGATTTCTTTTGTTAAAACTCCTGGTTCATGAGAACCCCTTGTGAATCCTCAGGCTTAAGACTTTCTCCCATACTGTAGAGCAGAGTGATTTATGTTCAGTGAACCTTCTTCCATTCATCTTCATGCTTAACGTGAGATTTGCACATTCCCAGCAATTAGGGATCTCAAAGGCTTGTTAGCTCTGCCACAAAGATGAAAAATGCTGCTAATAACTGATCAGATAAGATTAGCCACACTCCATGAACTTGAGCTCAGTGACTGGGGAAGTGGTTGTGTGGCATCGGTGACTTCTTTAAATGCCCCGACATGAAGAATGGATGGCTCAGAAAGGGTTTTCTCAGAGAATAGGAAATGGAGGGTTTTTCTTTCTTTCTAATATTTAAAGCTTAACAACGTCCCAGTGCTTCCAAAATATTCCTCATACTAAAAATGTAGCAGGAACTGCACCCTAACATGCCGTATTTTAGGAAAGTCACCCTCTTTCCTGGTCTTGTGCATTGTTGCTATGTACAGGAAAAGTGATGCTGTACACATCCTTACCCATTTCCTCACACAGAACGACCACCGTTAGTGATTATGGAGTAATTTTCCTCCTGAAATGTAGAGCCAGGAAGACAGATGTAAAAAAATGGGACTTTGGGGAAAATTTATTGAAAAGTAGTTCCATGTGCAAACATTGTGTCAAAAACATCAAAGAGGAAAACACAATACTCATAGAAAAAGAATCCCACAGCAGAACGTTATCTGGAAATTAAACTTGGGGAAAAAAGCCTAGAAATAGAAGAGAAGGCGATCACTCTAAACGGAACTAGTTTTTCTCATCACCGATGCTTCCATACATGCTTAATGCTATTAGCAAGTGATGCTAGTCTAATGAATCGGAGCTGGGGTGAATACAAATACACTTTTATGTTTTTAATTTAAGTTTAAATCTGGTGCAGATGTTCTATCGTCATTATTAGCGAGTTAAGTTACTTCACAAGTCATTTACACATGAAAACACCTAAAAGACAACTTTTATGTGTATTTCCAAAGACCTGTTAGCTGAAAAACTGGCATCTCTCAGGAGACGGTGCAATGTGTGCCAAAAAGTTTGAGGAAATTGCATAAGTGGAGAACAAAAGAAAAAGTGGCAATCCTAAAAATAAAGATATAACCATCTAAAAACATGTACAGCAGATGAACATCATCTGAAAGTCATGTCCTTAAGAAACAGGAAAAATACTCACACTTGTATTTTATTTGCATTTATTTATTTTTATTTGTTTGCTTTTAAAGTCACTACATCAGCGCTAACATTGACAATTACATAACGTTTTTATTAAACACATATTTGGTTGTTATGGTTCCTCGATAAAAAGCTGAACTAATTACAATAATTGAACTGGACTTTTCCATGTTTGTGCTGTTAGCACCACTTTAAGGGAGTTATTTAACATAATATGTCATTTTCTCTGTGTTACAGACCATCCAAGGAGACTTTGTTTGACTTTTAGTCTGTCATGTTCTTTTAGCTTTACCATTTTCTTAGTTCATTTGCTATAATTTGTGACTGTGTTGCACTTGTATGGTTTATTTTGCCTGCTAACCAAGCTAGCTATCGTTAGCTAATAACCTAGCACTGCACCCTTTCATCCAAACACAGTCACTTCTGACTAACAGAACTTCAGCACTAAGGCCTCAAAATCAATGGATGTTTATGCAGTCTATCGTTAACATGAGTCATTCCTGTGTTCCCAGGGTCCTACGTTCTCCAGATTTATGTGGTACATAATCGGAACATGACAAGAGATCCTGTGTTCCCAGGGTCCTGATGCATGTACCCTAGCTTTATAGCATATATTCAGAACCTGAAAAACACATTACCCAGGTCTGTATGCACTTATGACATGGGCTTTTGTGGGAAGTTCTGGGATTTTGATAGCCACCGGTGTGTATAGTTGTTTTAACACTACCCCCAACCCCCAAGAAGTAAAAATATTCAAGGAGAGGAGTAATGAAATCTTTTAACTTAAACTGAGTCAAAATGAAGTATTGTAATGGGAAATATGGCACCCATAAATATAGATATGCTCCATTATGCTAACAGCTGCTCCTTAGCGTCATTTTGTTTGTTTTTTAGACTAAAATGCGTAAATTCAGTCGAATAAAAAGTCAACCAATGCAATGAACATCCACAATTAAACATAAGAATGACCCACAAATAAAGAAAATACTCCATAGGTAGAAAAATAAACACAACTCATGATGACTTATCTCTGATCAAATACCAATAAATAAACATTATCCTGAGGTAGGTCAGCAAACCCACCGAGATGCTTGACAAGGTCCACTGGAGCTTTTAAAGGTTGTTTGCCTTTGGAAAGTTGGTATTTTCACCTTCTTTTATAACACAATTAAGTATTTCAAAGGCTCTTGATATTTGGAGAGCAGTGACCTCTGTGCTCCTCTGTATTCTTTCGCCCCCATCACACGTCCCTGACAACTGAGAAAAATGTGCATTAACCCCTCAAAGCTGGTCGGTGACACTGCGTGGCCCGGGGCAGGCACCTCTCCTCCTTGAAGCCGGACAATTTGATTTGGAGGTGGAGACTTTCAAAGCTGAGTCATGGATCAGCAGTCAGCGAGTGGCTTTGCCTTTTTCTTTTTCTTCCCTTGATGGTTGTTTTGGATGAGGGGGTTTGAGAAAGCTGCAAAAACCTGACCGACACCAACAAATAAAGAAGCCACTGCTGGGAATAACTGAAGATTTGGTCACTTTGGTGTGAGATTGAATGCTTCGGTGTGATTTTGGTGAAAGACATCATTATACACAACATAGACTGTGTGAATCAAGTTCACATGGTGCAGGAATGTCTTTAAATCAAGAGTGGCAGAGCTCTGCTGATAAATTATGACACCCGAGCTCGCTGTATCAGTCGACATATCTTCAATGCGCAGCAGAGGAATCTGATTAAGGCCTGAGGTAATGGAAACCAGGGTCAGCTTGTACAGCTCAGCTCAGCTGTCACCTACACATAGGTATTCCCAAAATACTCATATCCCTTCAGGTTCAGTCAGATAAATAAACACTGTCCTCACTAAGGACAAAAGTAATTTTTTAAAGTCTCTTCATGGCAGCTTGAATGTACTAAACCAATCTGGTGTTTAGAAAGCAAATAAATAAGAGAAGACGGGGTTGGATCAAGGACGAAAATAAGAACAGTAAAAATAAACAAAGGAGAAAGAGCTATTGAGAAAGTATTTCCTTAACAAGAGGGGAACAAATAATAAATTATGGGGCCCCTCTCCCTTGAGGCTGGACTGGCATGCCTCAGGGTGTAAGGAAGTGGGCATCCTTCTCTTTTTATAGGGGTCGTGGACAGGCCTCCACTGTGGGAGCATCACATAACACAAGGACAGAGCCCTGAGAGAAAACGGCTTAAAGGAATGTTTGCGCACACAAACACACAGACCGAGCTCGTCACAGAGTTTATAGGTCGTGCAGCGCTGAATGAAGACGGTGACTGCGTAACCCTCGTGTCCCTCATCATGTCATCACTGCAGTTTCTCCCCTTCTCATATCTGCAGTCCCACTTGGCCTGTATAACTGAGAGGCTGCTGACAGCCATGACCCCACATTTACCCCACGCTCCCCTCGCTTCTGTCCCAAAGCAGGTGGCAAACACCACCAGCATGACACTCTTCATCTTGATTTGCTGTCTATGGTCATTTTTGATGCGTTGGATTTCCTGGCTAACTCTTGAGGGCCATGACATCGTGAGATAAAGGAAAGTAGCTTTTTAAAAGTTTCCTCAAACTCCAAGCAGCGTGTTAGTCACAGCCAAAGTTGATAAAAGCTTCTGTTTTGTCCCAAATAAATCAACTTCACGGGGCATGCTGTATGGAAGTGGATAAAAGCCTGGCCTACAGGGCACAGCCAGGATTTGTATTCCATACGCATTAAAGCATGCTAGCACTTTTTAAGCATAGCGACTTTATTTTCAGCTTAGGGCTTACACAGATCCAACCATTTGCTATATTGGATTCTTGGCAGATGGCCTGCAAGGATCTTGGCCACCCTTGAATTTAGTTCTCATGTTAAGCTTGACCGTGTCAGTAAATGGGCTGCTCCCTGCACTTACCCTAAATATAGGAACTTACATCGTGGTTGTAATGGTTTCTTATCAGTTGGGGGGGAAAGTATGTATGACATAGTTGCTGATATATGTCCTCCCACCTGCTTTAACACTAGCACTGATTATTTTCCTGGAATTTCTTTGTTGATAGCATACAGCAGTCTGCACTGAGTGCACATTAATGCACTACATGAATGAACACAATTAACAAAAATACTGTTGTCTACTACTAAAGTGTTTATTTAAAGCTAATTTGACCTGCTTTTGTGCAGCACGGTGGTTAGTACTGTTCCCCCAAAGAGAAATTGTCCCAGGTTTAAGTCTACTGGCTGAGGTCTTTCTGTGTGGAGTTTGAAGACCCCCTGTGCATCTATGGGCTTCTCCCAGAGACATGCATGTAAAGTTACCTGGTGATTCTAATTTGGCCATAGGTGAGAATGGCTGTCTGTTATGGAGACCACAGGACATCCAAAGTTCTTGCGAGAAAATCCCCATTTTGTTGCCTTTGAAGTTGTTGGTTTAAAGAAAGGTCAATCACTTGCAGTCAGTTAGGATTGTCAAAGTGGCTTTGGTGCATCAAGACAGCAATTAGATTCAGTCTACTATCAGCCTGTGATTGAATGGGATTAATTTGGCAATTACCTGCAGTCTCTTTGGGTTAATACGATGATTAACTGTGAAAAATTGACAAAAATCACAAATCTGTTGCCATCTGCATACAAACCCCCCCCCAAAATATCAAAAAAATCATATTAACTACTATATTCTGCTTCTTCTCTTTGAAGTTGAGTACAACAAAGAGAGTCAATTTGAGTCAAAGAGAGACAGTGCAGACAAATTTCTCTCATTGCCACAGTCTGACATAGAATG